TTTTTTTTCCTCTTTTTTTTTTTTTTTTTTTTTTTTTTTTTTGCCATGTTTCAGGTTTTTCAGCAGTGATCATGGGGAGTTTTGTAGCAAACATCAAGCTACCCCCATGTACTGAGCTCAGGAGAGACTGGCAGCATGCAAGGGTGCTTTGTCAGGGCAGGAACGGGTGCAGTATCAGAGCAGCGTGTCGGGAGCAGGGCCCTCGGGTGCTGGGTGCTGGACGTTGCCAGAATCGCAGCTCACCTGTGTCCCAGGAGAATGGCTGTCACACTCATTGTCCTCACGTTGGGTGATGAGATACTAAGGCCACGAGGCCACGGGCAGTGAAAACAGGAGATCCTACATCCCTGTCTTCACCTTGGACTGTCTCCCTGCTCTCTGGGCTGGGTTTTGAGTTGCAGGAGTTCCCAAAGGCCTTTTGTTCTGCTTTCCTTCCACTTCACAGATGGCTGTGGGAGGTGTCTACTTGCCCTTCTAAAACAGAGGGAAGTTTTTTTGCAAACTCTGTCATTATGAAGTTGAGGAAGGGTGATGAATTTCAAGCACAAAGAGGACCTAGGAGAGCAAGGATGTTTGGTCAGTGCCATGGAGACAGCGAGGCAAGGTGGCAGAGATGAGATCCTTTCCCATTTGCCTTGGCCACTGACACCCTTATCACCTCTACCCCCCATATCTCCTCCTGCTCCTTGTGGTCTGACTCACCAGACCTGCCCAGGCAGGCTCGAAAGCCTTTCCTGCCACCGAGCAGTGGGCAGCCTCTCCACTGCAGCTTTGGTTCTCCAGCACCTCTCTCCAGCAGACTCCCCTGCCCTCCTCACTTCATCCCTCTTCACCCCTCACCTTTGTCATTGTCCCTGCCAGCACTCCAGAGCCCCAAACCTTGTGTCTCCTGCCACCAAAACCTACTGCAACCCCAGAAATAATTGACCAGGTGCTACCTTTAGTTGCTCTGGCTTCTCCAGAACATCTCCATGAGTTACTGTGGATCTGTGCTTAGTTTACACTCACGGGTCTCCTTCACCCATTGCTGAAATGCAGGTGTCTCAGAGGTAGGAGGTGGCAGATCTGTGGTTCATGGAGGAACCTCAGTCTGAGACAGAAAACTACTCAGAAAAAACCATGAGCAGAAGAATCTGTAAGAGGAAGAAATCAAGACTATGAAAAATTCCTATAACTCAAGAAATAAGCATGTACGCCCCTCTCAGACACCGCCACACCAGATCTGGGAGGAGAAAGTGGGGAAGAGATTTCAAACCAATTATGTGTGTTCCTATCAAGGGTAGGTCAGATGGTTAGGAAAAGTCAGATGGCTGCTGAAGGGAACCCTTAGCAACACCTGCTCCCCCATGAGGTTATATTGATTATTTTCTGGGTAATTTCCTCATGGAGACAGGGACAGCTGGGTATGAGCAGGCTCAGCTGCACAGTGGCATGTGCTCGTGCCTATGTGCATGCACACAGAGATGCAGAAACACAGCAAGCAGAAAGAAATCACTGTAAAAACACTCTCAGCACTCTGGTGAGGGCTCAGGGTTGTCACATGTCTTTTTTTTTGGGTAATGATGTAAGCGGTGGGGGCACCATCTCGCTCCCTGCATGCCTACCTCCTCAGGAATGTCTGCCTGAGAAACAAATGTCAAAGGTAGCACGGAGGCAGTAATTGGGTGAGAAGTGCGAGGAATGTCAGTGCCACCCACTGCCGATTGGCAGCTGGAAACAGCAAATTAATTCAGCAATTAGTGAAAAATTAGAGAGCAGGAAGGGCAGGCTGATGAGCAGGGTACCGATGGGGCTGCCCCAGGCTCAGGTCTGAAAACCTGCTCTGCCACAGATTTCCTAGGGGTTGAGAGCAAGTCACTTAGGTGCTTTCACCTCATTGTGTTTTGGTTGTCTGAAAACCTATGGCTTTGGCTCTTTTTGTAGCTCAGACAGAGATGGAAAACTCTGGAGTTGCTTTTTCTGTCCTAACCTAGGAGAGGCTGGATGAATCACTGTGTGTTTTCATTTGGGTGATGACTATCAAGGTGGGATTTGCGTTCCCCAGCTGTAGCTGCCTCTGAGCTGCTCTTGCCACTTCTATTGGTAGATAGTCAAGAGAAACAGGTACTTCTAGAGCCACTCATGTGGAAGTCCTACAACAGAAACCTTGTCATAAGATAGACTGTGCCTCCTCCCTGAGAAATGAGTCCCACGCTAAGGTTGGATGAAATATTTCCACTGCAATCAAAGGTGTAAGTGTCCCTGAGGCAGTAGCGAGGGGAGTGGGATGCTGAAGTTCACCAGGGATCCTAAGTCCTGGGTTGGGGGAGGTGGGAGATAACAGTGTCCTGCCTTGTTAAATGACCAGACTCGATGGAAGCTGCCTGCCCTAATACATGTGTGTTGCTATCCTTTTAATCACCCTCTGCCCATTTTATCAAACTGCAACCCCCACTTTATGAAACTCATCAATATTGTTAGGTGCTCACATCCATGCAGGTGTTCACATGCATAATTTATTTTTAAATCCCCATCCTCTGAATGAGGTGTTTACCTGTCTGCTTGGATCTTGCCCTTAGCTGTTCCAGGTTGTGTGGACAGGTGGCTTCACGGCTGACTCCATGAATGCAGATGTGCTTTGGCAGTGACACAACCCAAGAGCTTTTTTGAAGCAGTGAGGAGAGATAGCTTGCAATGCAAGCTGGAGACAGCTTGCCTTTGGGACTGAGCTGGAGGAGGCATGAAAACCTCAGTTACGCATGAGTTATTGCAAACCATAATATGTGTTATTATAAACATAACTCGGTGATGTCAGAGCCTTACACATGAAGAGCACACGGCCGCATTTTTGTCATGTTCTTTTTTTAATTGCACCTAAACAATCCCAATGGTATGTGCAAAAGCCTGCAGCTGAACAGGTAACTAGAGACATATTTTCTTGATAGGCACCTCAAGGTTTGCATGCATCAGCTCATAAGCAGAGGAAATTAACTTCATACCATCTGCTTCATGTAGGCTGGGAATCTGCCAGGAGGCAGAGCTGACCTGTCTCGGGTCTGCACGTCCTTGTGGTACAGCACCTCAGTCCTCCTCACCGTTTCCCTTCGTTTATTGAGAAGGTGGTAGAGTCCTGAAGCAGGAAAGGGGCTGCAGCACTGCCATGGGAGTGAGAAGAGATGAGCATCTCTGCAAGGGTGTCAGACTCAAAAGGGCCATAGCATGGAGGGCAGTTTCCAGGCACGGCCTCGCACCTATGCCCACTCCCCTCCCCTGTCCTGTGGGATTAAACACACCGGGTGCATTCCTCGTCCCATGGCACACCACCATCACCTCATCAGAACAGGGAGACTGGGTTGGGGGGGGCGGGGTGGGATAGCGGAACCCAAAATCTCTGGCCTCAGCAGCCAGCTGCAGCCCATGAGTTTGGAGTGTCTGAGCAAGAGGAGCAGAATAAGGCAAGAAGCAGCACAGTGTAAATCTTTTTAAGTGTTGTATTTAGAAAAAGCTACAACTTGGGCATCAGCACGTAGGACTCGCTGTGATTCTTCCAGTCCTGAAGCCATAAGCATCAGATGCTTCCACACGAAGTGGAAGAAAGCTCCTAGCAGGAGGTGGGGATACTGCAGCCCTCTGCACTGGCCAGCGTTGGCACTGTGACCAGCCCTAGTGCAGAGGGAGCCCTGAGCCAGGGCTGCAGAGGCTTGGCTGAGAGAGGAGGCCACCCAGAGCTCAGTCCTATGGCAAGGGTGATGGATGGCTGCTGGTGCTGGCCCTTTCACCCTGACTCTCAGCACGGGCTGGCGCAGAGCTGCGAGGAGGTGATGCAGCTCTAAGAGGATGCAAACCCTGGGTAAGGTTGCAAGGATGTAATTGGATGTCTATCTGAGTGCATTGCAGGACGGCCAAGGGCTGAGGAAGGGTGGCTGGGGAGTGAATCAAGGTAGAAAATGAATTGTCTGCCATGGATGTCTCCAAAGTACATGTTATATGGTGCAGTAAACTATAGGCCAGGAGCAAAGACAGCACATTTAACTGGGCCAGCACAGTGCTGGGACCTGAGGGCCATGGCCTCTGAAACAGAGACTACAAGAGGCCATGGCTGCTAGAGACCGTCTGCCACCCCTGAGCTTCTACCAACACACTCACCCTCTAATTTGGAGAAGAAAATTACATCTGTCTGGCACATCCCCCTGGAGCTGCTGCAGGCAATGCCAATAAAAGTGACTAAGGGGCAGACAGAGCTGCAGCCACCAAAGACCTGAGCATGCCCTGGTGTTTAGTGCTGCTGCTCCCACTGCTCGTTACCTCCCTGCGCACAGCTCCGTGTGTAGCTCCAGGATGGATTTTTTTTGCCACAACTGCTGCCTCCAGCTCTGCAGCGCAGGCAGACGTGAGCAGGTAGCAAAGATACCAGCAAGAACCTGTGGTGCTGGTGTCCTCACCCATGTTACACCAAGAGGTGTGTGGTCATTATGGATGAGGTTCAGACTATTAATGACACGAGGCGCAGACTACTAATAACAAGCCTGGAGAATGCCCCAGGAGCTCACTGCTGTCTCTGTGTTCAAGGCAGGGAAGTTCAGATCACCTGCCATGGTGCCTGGCTTCATTCTGGCTTCTGGCACAATTAGTGGTGAGAGGTAAATGCCTTGTCTAGGCATCTTATATACCATGTTGTTTTTTTCTTCATAGTTTGGATTTAATAGTTCAGAGGGACTGAATTAAGGTGCCATGGTAGGCGCTTAAATGAACTGAAGGTACCACCACTGTAGGAGGTGAGAATGTGGCCCTAACTCAAGCCATCTACTGGTCTTAAAAATCTCTTATAGAAAGAAAACAAGTTAGCAGCTTGGTGCAGGATGGCTGGTGAGGTTCTGGAGGCTGTGTTGTGCTGCAGACCAGACTGGAGAGCTGCAAGCATCCTTTGCAGCCTAAAACAGTATGTTTGGCAGGGCAGCTGCCTGGAGCATACGCTCCACCGAAGCGCTGCAAGGAAAATAAGGAGGGAGTGCAAGATGTGGTCTGAGGCACAGCGTGTAGTAGCAGTCATAATGGAGAAGATACTTCAAGGCCCATTTTACAAGTTGCTTTCTAGGAAGGCAGATTGCATCCAGTAACTCTTCTCTCTACTATTTCAGATAGACGATCCAGAAAATGACCTGCATGAGATGGTGCGTGAAGCCGATGTCGTTGGCACTGTGGCCAACCTTGGTGTAAATCAAGCCCTGACCTCAGACTATGTGGGATCTGGTTATGAGAGAGGGCTGCTCAATCCCAGCTTGCTCAATGAGGAGGATTTCCAGATGGCCACTTACACGCTCACAAACGCCGTCCCTCTGAGCCCATCTCTAAGCAAAAGCTGGCACAGAGACATTGGAAGGGTAGTGGAGAAAGCTCTGGTCCCTTACTGCTCCAAGAAGGATCATCTGTATCTCATTGCAGGTGCAATTCCTTCCAGTGTCCGAGTTAAGGGCAAGGTGTCAGTACCAGAGACCCTGTGGCTGGCAGCCTGCTGCGATGCTCTGGAGGGATGGTCACTGGGACTAGTGAAAAAAACAAATGATGAAGACAGCTTGGTGGACCTCACTGTGCAAGAGCTGCAGAAGCAGCTTCTAGCGGGAGTTCACTTGTTCAAGGGCAACTGTGGGGAAGACAACCAAAGCCAGGAGAAAGCAGAAGCAATACTGCAAGCTGTCAGTCAGATCCGCTCTGGAGAACAAGTAGGAACAAGTGACAACCAAGAAGCCAAAGACAGTGGCTTGGTGAGAAAAGTGGCTGGCATCATTGCTACCCCTTTCATCAAACTTCTGGAACTCCTCATCTACGTGTTTGTGGAACTGGTGAAATTTGTGTTTTATTTTCTGTGGCTTGTTATCAAGTGGGTTGGTGGTACAGTTCTGGATGGAGTCTACAGCCTGTGGAATGGGGTGGTGTCCTACCTTAAAGCCATCAGCATGGTGCTCATCAGCATCCCCTATGATGTGGGGAGGGTCATCGTCAACATCTTCTTGGGCTTCCTGCAAATTGTTCAAGATGTGATGTCCCTGACCTACAGGATCCTGTGTATCCCCGTGGGGTTTGTCCTTCACCTCGCTGCTTTCCCTTACCACTCCATCTGTGCCATTCCCTCCGTCCTCAAAGACATGGCCACTGGGATCGGGGGCACCTTCTCGCTGGTCATTGATGCCACAGCTGCACTTCTGCATGGCTTTTATTACCTGGCTGGTCACATAGTCAAACGATTTGTACCCAAAGGCTCCTCTGATGACTGACAGGGATGGAAACCAAGGCTGCAAAGACACGGAGTGAAGGAGGAGTGGGGCAGTGCTTAAAGATACATGGCCAAATGCTGTCAATTTTGTTCTGGTATTTATTGTAGTGACATTAATAATAATGAACCAACTGGGGAGCATCAGGGAGGGCTGAGGTAACGTCACTGGGGGCCACCACCATTGTAACTCAAGTTCTGTCTGTTGTAAAGTGTTTGGGTTTTGTCAGTGCAGGTCACAAAGCCTCTGTGATTTGTAGATGTCAAGATGCTTCCTCTGGGAGATGTGCACTAAATGTGGTACGAGGTTGTTTCTTTCCATCTATGATAACACTGAGACCTACACACTGGCGGTGAGCTCTGCAGAAGCCCATCCCTGCCAGGGAAGAGGTGGTGGTCAGGGGAGGATTGTCTGGGACCTGGAGAAAGGAGGAGGAGGTGAGGATGCAAGGATTTGGGGCTGGGAAACAGTGGGGAGCGGGGTGGGGTGAGGGCAACATCCTGCTGTTGGTTGCACTGCTCATTGCACCGGGGTCCCACTGGTGGAGGAGATGCAACTGGGCATATCTCATAGTCCTCAGGCCTTTCCAGGCAGATGAGATCACCTGGATCTTGCTGTGAGGAAAGACCTGCTGCCCATTGTTTTGCATGGTGGGAAAACATTTTCCCTTAGGCATACCAAGGTCATCTTCCCCCAGCCCTTCCTTGCTCTCTGGTGACCACTGAAGATCTAAGCCCCGAAGCTTCAAAATGTGACATTCCCTGAAGATCTAAGCCCTTGACTGTGTCATCCCTGGAGCCCTTGTGCCTGCTCTGAAGCCCAGCAGCGCCCAGGAGTTGTGCTTTTGGCTTTGAATCAGTTGCCACCTGTCCTGCCTCCCCTGGGAGCTGACGGCTCCCCAAGCACACAGCGGTATTTATGTGCCTGAGGTCTCCACCTTGCCGATGGGTCACACCACAGCCGTCCTTCTGAGGCTTGTTTTGAAAGCACAGCTTGCTGGGGAAAAATTATCCTCCTGGGTTTCCCTCTAGGGAGGCTCTTGGTCTCAGCAGCATTCGCCAGATCTGGCTGGACTCCAAGGGGCATTTGGGAGTCCTGAATACACAGATCCTTCCCTTCACCCCCACCTCTGCCCCTCTCTCCAGCGCCAGGTTGGTTGTGGACCCCTGATCTGCGTAGCATGCCATAAGGAGTCCTAGGAGTGTGCAGGCCGGTGCTGCTGTCCCCATGGGAGACCCAGTGGTGCTGTGTTGATGGTGGCCAGTCCTGGGTTGAAGAAACTCAACACAGCAGCTTTGCCTCCCTGCCCCGTGCTGCCTGCAGCAAGGCTGAGCTGGGGGATGGATTCAGAGCGTAAAGGAGATTTGTCTGGTTCCTGGCGGTGACAGAGGGTCGTTTCCTTAGCTCAGGGTCTGTGTTCAACCAGCTGTGCCTGCACATCCCAGACCAGCACACCCTGAGCAGGTGACACCCCTGCTAATGGCATCGTTGGGGATGCCAATGATGGGGATGGAGTGGGGAGGTGGTGGGATGAGTGGGGAGAGGGGGTGACTCCTTGTCTCACTTTTTGTGGAACACAGCTGGTTTGTGGGGAAGGAGAGGCTGCTCGCAAGCAGCGCTCGCTTTGTTCAAAAGGAAAGGCAGCTTCTGCCTGCCCATGTGGGTGTGGTCAGAGATGTTCTACTAGTCCCTCCGTCACCTTGGGGCTGTTGGTTTGGGGATTTTGGGTGCAAGGGGCAAGGTGCTGGTTGCTGCTTCCAGCAGATGCTCTCCAAACCTAACTTTGCATCTCTGCCTACTCCAACGTGCCTTCCCTGCTGCAGAGCCAGATGTGGAGCTGGTTTCCCACACCTTCTGTCCCAACCCCAGCACTCCTCCTGGGCTATGTGGCAGCCATCAAGGCAGGAGAGGAGCCAGCTCAGGTCCCAGGACATGCCAGGGTGGGCTGACAGGGGTGCCAGCCTGGGGGACCCATGGTCCCCAGCAGCCTCTGAAGGCATGTGTGGTGGCAGCAGCTCTCAAGAGCAGCCCAAGCATTGGGGAGAAGGTAGCTAACCCCCACAGCTGCCTTCAGCCTGGCCTTATCTCCAACCCATCATAGCTGTGCAGTGCTGCACAGTGGCCAGCGATGCATTTTTTGGGGGGTCCTGCACCCAGAGCAGCTTCCCCACACCTTAACCCAGCAGCCCCCATATCCCAGCTCCACCACCATCTCCAGTGCACCCCCAGTTGCAGTGACGTGGGAGCTCACGTGCTGAGAGGCAGCAAAGCTGAGGCACCTCGAGAGGTCTCCATCACCATCAGGTCAGGCCAGCGGGTCTCCATGCTGCAACCACGTCTTCTGACCACAGGTGGACAGTCCTTGAAATCCAGGGGGCTGCAGCACCGTAGCATTTGGGCAGAGATGGCACAGTGTTGTTAACATTGTCTCACCACACCCACATTTCAAATGCAAAGAGCTGCAACCAGCAAAGGGTCATTTTTCTTCTGTGCTGCGTGTCTGAGCAGGCGATGGGAGATCTGCCTCCAGTGCTGAGCGATTGTCACAGAACAAGCAATGTCCTGCTACAAACTAACTCTGGTTTGAGATTATTCTTATCTGGGCATGATTTATGGCTTCTGAGCTTTATTCTATCCTTGGAAACATACGGCTTCAACAAAATAAAAGCCACTTTTCCAAAGAGGGGCTGGTATCACATTTCTGTCACGGTTGCAAACAAGATAACGCAACCCGGGTGCCCTGACTAACCAGGAAAGCACCAGCAGCACAGTTAGTCTTTGTTACAGTTTGACATCTGATATTAATGGCCCTTTTGTGCGTTTAAAACACCTTTCCTCTCTCAAAGCACTTTCAAAGAGTCAACTCATTAAGCTGCAGAGTACGTAGGTAAAGGCTGAGGGGTTGCAGGTAGCGAATTGAGCTCTGTGTGTGCCAGAAGAGAGAGGGAGAGGGGATGTTTTATGCTTGTGAGGTCTGGTGAGATGCACCTGGGGTGCAGCACGATGGTCTTGATACAGAAAAATCACATCACAGGGGGATGATTCTTCAAAGCTGATGGGGAGAAACTCCCTCTTGTGCAGTGACATTCCCTTGGCAGGTTTTGTCACAACTTCTTTAGAAGGAGAACAAGCACTCTCTAAAAATGGTCATATAGACATCCTGGGATGAGTAAACCAGATGTTAGCACCTGTGCTTTGAAGGTAGCTCAGTTGGGCAGATGAATCCCTCCAGTGGGGTCCATGCTCTTCTCAGATCTGCAGGATCTGGTGAGTTCCACTGGTGAGACAGTGGAACAGGTTGCCTGGAGAAGCTGTGGATGCCCCATCATTGGAGGTGGTCAAGGTCGGGTTGGACAGGGCTTTGAGCAACCTGGTCTAGTGAAAAATGTCCCTGCCTCAACCAGGTCACCCACGGCTTTGACACCAGTGTCTCTGTGCTCTTTGAGGTGGCTCTGGTCTCTGCTGCATTCACACTGGGGCTGGGCACTGATAACAGCAGAGGGACTCAGCAACCCTGGCAGCACAGCCCCTTGGTCACAGCCCTGGGCTCAGGTCCTCTGGGTCACACCTCTGCTGCCGTTGCATGTTTTCAATCTGCTCATCTCTACATGGAGCTCCATCACCGGCTCCATACCTCCCTGTGGCCAGGGGGCTGCTCCAGATCAGCAGGAAACTGAGCCGTGCTTGTTCTCAGGTTCTCTCTCCAGCACAGTCGGTGCCAGAAAGGGGAGGAGGTATTGGAAAATCAATACCAGCCTGACTCGTTTGGCCAGGAATGGTGGCCTGGGAGCAAGGAGCGTGAGGCGTGTCTGGGGCGTGCGTGTTAGCGAGGTTGTGATCCCGTGGGTTTGGCATGGGATGATTTCTCCTTGCTGCACAGTCTGCCAGGCTGTTGGGCTTACTTTGATTTGGGAATGGATCTCACACTGGGTAACATCTGCCATTGATTTCCACAGAGCTGGTGTTTCCAGCCAAGCAGAAAGACCTACAGACTTCCCAGCAGTGTTAGTCTTACAGCTGCTTGGAAAATCTCCAAGGAAATATATCCTGTCAGAACGGGGTGATTTATCAAACAGGGTTCTTTTCATGGCAATTTGCCATTTTTAGTGGAAAAGATTTTTCGGGTCCAGGCTGGAACAATGACCAGAATCTTCCAAGAGCAGCCCAGGGTATTAGAGGTTTGGACCTGGACATTCAGCACGTGCTCCTGCCTAAAGCCAGGCCTGGCACATGAAGGTGGCTGTCTCCACCTCAAAGGAGTGTCCTTAGATCCACATCCCATCTTAGCTTATGTCTCATTTTCTCCCATTTGTGAGGATGAATTAAACCAATTTCCTTTCCAAAAATACTGAAATTGTGACCATTTTCCTGGGAGGTAGAAGCCATTTTCCACTGAGCCAGCAGCAAGTTGCCTGCAAAGATGAAGCAGTGGCTTCAAATTCCTCTGCAGTATCATCTTTATTAATAACTTGATGTTTTAAACCAATTACATGTGGTGGAGAATGGACATTTAGAGCAGATGTCACTGTGTGTTTACTGCTGTGATATTGAGGATTTTGTCAAATGTCCCAGTGTCTGCTGGTGGAAGCTGGTTATGGACCAAAGCCAAGAGATGCAGTAGGTGGGCAGGATGATGCTAGTGGGTAGGGGAGGAAACATGGGAGCTCCTCACTGGTGGGAGAAGAGCAGCAGATGGATGGGATGTTTCAGGCTGGGTTTAAGGAAGAATTTTTTTACAATGAGGGTGGTGAAACACTGGAACAGGTTGAACAGACATGGTAGATGCTCCATCCCTGGAAACATTCAAGGTCAGGTTGGATGGGACTCTGAGCAACCTGATCTAGTTGAAGATGCCCCTGTTCAATGCAGGATGGGGAGGGTGGGTTGGACTAGATGACGTTTAAAGGTCTCTCCCAACCCAAACTGTTCTATGATTCTGTGAAACCAAGTGGCCAATAGCTAAATAGTGAACAGTAATGGCTTAGAAGTGGTCTCTGCTTGGT